TGCTGTCAAGCTCGCTGGCCGCGCCGTTGTCAAGTCCACTGGCCGCGGCTCCCACAAGCCCACCGGCCGCCCCAGAGCTCGCTGCAGTGTTGGCTCCAGCCCCAGAGCTCGCTCCAGTGTCGGCTCCAGCCCCAGAGCTCACACTAGTGAGGGCTCTTCTCCCCGAGTCTGGCCCAGTGAGGGCTCCTGTTCCTGAGTTTAGCCCACGGAAGGCTCCTGTTCCCGAGTTTAGCCCACGGAGGGCTCCTGTCCCCGAGTTTAGCCCAGTGAGGGCTCCTGTCCCCGAGTTTAGCCCAAGGAGGGCTCCAGTCCCTGAATCCAGTCCAGAACGCACTCCTGTGCCCGCGCCTCGAGAGTGCCCATAAGTGCCCGCTCCTCCAGAACACCCTCAAGACTGTTCCTGTCAAGATGCCTGTAAGCCTCTCCAAGTATTTTTTTTTGGTGGGGGTGGGGTGGGGTGGGTAGTAGGGCTTCAGCCATCGAGGCGGGGCTGGCGCTGAGGCTGGGCCTGCTCTGCCATGGCCTCCTGGACTGTCTGATCTGCCATGACCTCTTGAGTTCCCTACTCCGCCATGGCCTCCTGGACTGTCTGATCCGCCATGGCCTCCTGAGTTCCCTGCTCCGCCATGGCTCCCCGAGCTGCCTGATCCGCCATGGCGCCCCAAACAGGTATCGCTCTGGAGGCCCGAAGTCCCGTGTCTGTCCTGAGGGACCTCCAGAGTAATGTCAGACTCTGTTCCATGTCTCGTGTTGTGTTTTCCTCCCCCACGTGCTCCAGTTTGATTATTATGCCCATATTTGTTTTTTCCTGTTCCTGTCCCTGTATAGTTCATTTGTTCCCAGGTGTGTCCCATTAGTTTCTGTGTATTTAAAGTGTGTTCTGACCCTCGTTTCCAGTCCTTTGTTAAATGTCATTTCATGTTCTCAGTGTTTCCCGTGTTCCTGTGTTCCCCGCTTTGTTTGCATTAAAGACTTTGGATTTTGCTTTACTCCTCGTCTCCTCGCTCCTTCGTTCCCGTGCTCCCCGTGTGAATCGTGACAATTCTACATACAGCTCCCAATCGGGGTAAAGTTCGGGTTTGTCCACAAAATAAGAGTACACATATACCATTTTTGGGGGGGATTTTAACTTAAGTGCTGCAAGCCATGCATGTTTTCTCTTGTCAGTCTTTGGATAAAATGCAAGGGATAAGGTGCCATATAGAGACATTTTCAGATTTTCAGATGCTCAAAACAAGTACTTTAAAGGAATTCCTTCCGTTTATTGCTGTTGTTGAGGCAGCCAACAACAGCACAGCTTAACCCTGTGCTCATTTGTATATTAAGCAATATTTAAAAAAAAAATCTGTTTTAATTCAGTTGGTCTTTTACTCGATTTTACAATGCTCCATCAATGGTACATGGCTAGCCTTAAATAGGTGCCACATGCACAGTGTAGCCCTGCTGAAGGGCACTCCTGCAGGTACTCCAGCACTGCATCAACCAGGCAGTGGACTGGGTCCAAGTGGTGTTGTTCACACAATGATGTAAAAAGCTGTAATTTCAGGCCATGCAGTGTTGGCTTGGATTAGACAGTTGTTGATGTAATTCAGTACTTGTGTCATGAATCTGGTCCCTGCTGTTCCTCCCGCTCACCACCAGAGGTCTCTAGCACCTTCTCACCCTGGACTCCATTTCCCAGAAACCCTAACCTAGGAACTGATTACGGATTCACCTGTTTCTTATCAGTGGGATTATTTAAGATGCACTTCACACACACACACACACACACACACACACATTGCTGAGTATTGTTTGTCTGTTACTGCAATCTGAAGCCTTTCCTTGTCTCTGTGTTTTTCCCTGTTTACCTTGCCTTGCCTGTATTCTGTGACTTTGGACTGTTTACCTGGTTTTTGATTGTTTGCTGCCTGCCCTGACCTTTGCCTGTTTTCTGGATTACTCTTTTGTCTCACCCTGAATGTTATTCTTTGCCGGTGTTCGACCCTGCCTGTTTTGACTACGCTCTTTTAATAAAGCTGCATTTGGATCTTCAACTTCGTTGTCACGCTTCCCGTAACAACAAGGATGCCCTGGAGTTGCAAAGAAGCCAGAGTGACACCCATGCATTTTGTGAAGATGCAAGGTGATTAAGCAAGACCGAAGACAAGGACCCAATACTGTAGGAGGAGTCAGTTTGTTCTGTACCCTGAAACAGCTGGCTGGCAGAGAACAACTGAAAAGAGGGGAAGCCCTTGTCTAGGTGGAGCTACTGCCCTACATTCTCCTTTATTATCCCTGCCACATTTTAACCACATATGTGGCTCCACGGCAACTGATAGTCTGTGACAGCTGATAGTCACAAGTTGTCTGCTTGTGGCATGGAGGGCCAGATCTGTGGCCTGTTGAAGTAATGCTTTGGGAGTAAACCGTATTCCATATCAAACTCCTGAGAACCACATGCATATGTATTTTTTTCAAATTCCAGGTCTTTCACAAGGTCATCTCAGAAACTGCTTTATGCGGTAATTATTTAACAATTTTGCACCCAAAAAAGCATGTTTTTTGCACTCGACATGGCTGCAATAGTTGCTAATTTGCACTGGTCTTGGTAGATTGAGTTGGTCAGAAGTATAACTTAAATTTCTGCTATAAAGCAGCTCTCCATCATGTTCATGTTTGTGCAAAGGTACAAAAAAATAGTAGTACAAAGGTTCAGTAATACAAATCCCAAAACAAACTCCAAATGAACGTTTTGGCCTGATTTTGTTTGAAATGATGTCACAGCAGTTTTTTCCCCCTCTATTATTTGCTTGTTGCATAGATATTGTTAATTTAAAAAAATAAAATGTTTTTGAAACTATTGGACCTAAAATTCAAATAATTATAAACAGCAGTCTTGCCTCATGTGCTATACCTCAGAATTTTAAACATGCAATACTGGAATCATTGATCAAACAGCCAAGATTGGATAGCTTCGTTCTTGCCAAATTCAGGTCCATTTCAAAACTTTTATTTCTTCGTAAATTATTGGAGAATGTTGTATTTATACAGTTGCAACTTTTTTTTAGATCTACACGGTTTTCAAGAAGTGTTCCAATCTGATTATAAATCCCTTCATAGCACTGAAGCAGTCCTGGTAAAAGTTTTTAATTACCTGTTATTAGCCACTGACTCAAGTGATTATGCTGTTCTCATGCTTTTATGTCTTACGGGTGCATTTGATACTCTAGATCATAACATCCTGATTTCTTGTTTAGAACATTCTGTTGGCATTACAGGGACTGCTTTTGAGTGGTTTCGATCTTATCTTTTTGACAGAAGTTTTTTTGTCTTCCTTGGGTATTTTGCGTCCTCCTTTGTGTCTCTCTTGAGTGGAGTCCCTCAAGGTTCCATTCCTGGACCCATCCTGTTCTCTTTATATATGCTTCCCTTAGAGTCAATTTGCAGGAAGTATGGTATCTCATTTCACTGTTATGCAGATGAAACACAACTTTATCTGCCTTTGAAATGGAAAGATCCAAATTCCATAGAACCTTTGTTGGACTGTCTTGAGGATATTAAAGCCTGGTTGGCCTTAAATTTGTTTCAAATTCAATGAAGGATAAACAGAAGTTGTGGTATTTGGATATTCAAATCATTAAATGGACTAGCACCAAGATATCTTTCTGATTTAATATATTCACATGCTCCATCAAGAGCACTTAGGTCTGCTGAGCATTTCCTTTTGTCATCCCTCGAGTAAGGCTGAAAAGCAGGGATGACCGTGCTTTTGCAGTTGCAGCCCCAAAACTTTGGAATAATTTGCCTCTCCATGTTAGTCAGGCCAAAACACTTTCTGCTTTTAAATCTAGTCTTGAAACATATTTCCACTCCTTGGCTTTTAACTCAGTGGGAGAGCTGTTTGCATTGCAATTTATGTTTTGTTTTATGTGTTTACTGTTCTATTCTGACTATGTCGTACAGCACTTTGGTAGAGACTTGTTGTTTTTAAAAGTGCTCTATAAATAGACTTTGACATCACTTGAAATATATTGGAGCCTTCAAATCTCCAATGTGTGGACTCATGAAGACTGTGAGAGCATTTGGGACATCAATTTAAGATCTGCTATCTATTTGTTCACTTAGTGGTCTATGGGAAACTCTGTTCTGATGCCAGGTTGTTTTAAACCAATTAGCTGAGTTTTAATTGCCATGTAACTAAAATCTCATTACAAATGATAATGTTTCTGGAAAAGAAAAATGCAAATTTTTTCCTGAGAAATGAAGTGATGACAAGCAAATGCCAAAATGGTGTATACCTGTTTGCAGCAATAAAGTCCATGAAGAGAATGCTTGCATACATGTTTATATAGAATGCTGTTGCTCCAAAGCTGCAGTAAATATTGCCCATTATCTCTGAATTATTGGCGTAGGCAGCAATGCGCAAAGGTAAACAAAGGCAAAGGAAAAAGTCAGCTGCAACCAAGTTCTTCATGTAGACTGTGACACTGGACTGGACACGCTGATTGGTGCAGAAATACACCCGCACGGCGATGCAGTTCAGCACCAGACTGACAAGAAACAGTAGTGAAAATGCAAATATGAAAACCTCATTAGCTGGGAGTTCACAATGATCTTGTGTCATGTTAGTAGTGGTTGGTTTCATGGTGAAACTGGTGAAAGTTATGAAGTTGGTTGCAGGCAATGGAGACTCCATCTATATAAGACAAAAAAAAAAAGTATTTATTTGAACACTGGTCTCCCTGTGTTATTCTTTCAAAGTGAAAAAAAAAGTGAGAAAAAAACAACAACACATTTTTGAAGAAAATGCCCAGAATTATTTGCCCATACTTACACAGACATTTACCAGTTTTTATAATATAAAATAAGAATTTATAATATAAAATCAATCACTAAATCATTCTTTATACAACTGTAGCCAAGCCACTAGGAGGCGCTGTTGTACCTATGATGGTATGCAGGATTTCCCTTTAAATACGCACTTCCGATCAGTAGATGAGTTTCGTTTCAATTGTTTGGCGAGTAGGTGGTTGTCTGTCGCTGGAAGAACAATCTCTGGGGTGTTCCCCTGGCAGGGGAACAGCAGTCTTTTGCTGCAAGTGTTGGTGCCACAAGTGGTCCTTTGGTGCCCAGTCCCATGGGGACTATAGAACGTTATGTTTATGTACCAGGAGAGCGTAAGTGCCCTAGGTTTTCTGGGAAATTATCCCAAGACTCTTTGACAGTGGAGGATTGGGTCGAAGAGGCCCGACGCCATCTGGCTATGCGTCCAATGTGACGCCATTACTGGCAGCTTACTCATTGTAACTATATAGGGAGGAAGTATATTCACCATCATTCACATGTGTGCTCTGGTTTTGTATTTCATGCTTTGAGGTGCTATGTATGAGAATTGACGTTGGTTTTCTTTTGGGTTTATTGTATTAATTACTTTGGTGTTAATTTCATTTTTATTTTCTTTGAGAGTGATATTATCCTTTGCAATTATTTGTGTCTCCATCTTGCATGAGTAAACTTAGCCAGCTTGGAAGTGAAACTACTTGATTAATAAAATCAAGTGAAACTGTGTCTATAGTAATTCTGTCTTAAGGATATTCTTTTATTTGAATAGCCGTGCGGGGAAACCCCCTTATACGACCTGGGATCTCCTACCCAAATAAAATTGGAGTGGCCTAGTCAAGAATATAGGAGTATTTGCTCTCTGTAATACCACACAACAATGTAACTGGTGTTTAGAAATTTACTGCTCTTCACAGCAGAACCTAATTTTTAATCACACGAAGGGCTGCATAATATACTGTTTTTTAAAATAAAATCAATATGGCAATATGGCTTAGTGCAATTGTTAAATTGTGGCTTGGTTCATTTACAGTGAATCAAGCTGTTCTGAGATGCTGATATCATGGGCTGTATGCGTGTTAATGGACACAAAGCTTCACTCTGAAACCGGCAGCAGATATTTTTATTTGTGTGCAAAACATCAAAATAAAATCTTGATGGTTTAATTTTTAAAAGATGAAGAAACTTAGCCGTAAATATCAGTATTGCAATTTTACTCTTTTTTTATTTTAGAGTTTATTTTACAAATTCTTTTTTACAATATTTATTATTACACAGCAAGTAATAATTCCAACAGCAGATCTATAAACAAGTATTATGCAGGACACTCACGTGCAGCCGTCTGTCTCTTCTGTTGACTAATCGCTTGACCCAATATATTTTAAAGAGTTTTTTTACTACGAAATGGTTACTGAAAGAGGTTTGAATTTATACTTGTAATACACACACACACGTGTGTATTTCCCCAATATCATGCAGCCCTATTATATCATTATACATAATTATCTCCATTAATTAGCTAGTTTATCATATTAAACTTACTTCAAATCCACTTGTAAGCTTTTGATCCAGCAGTTCGTCCAGCTTTCGGTGTGCTCACACAAAAATGAAAGACAGAACATGCACAAAGCTTATATTATCCTCTGCAAAACCACATATACCACATATTATACATTTGACCTGTTTTAAAATGCAAAAGCATGTCAACACGTCAACAATTTATTTGTCTTTCAAATTAGTTCTAGTACACACATGAAAAATACATGAATAACACTCATCCGTTTGATTTCATCCAGGCAAGTTTAATTGCTGCTAATTAGCCTACTCTTTTTTTAATTTTTTTAACTTCACTACTAATTCATAGATTTTCTATTTTCTTTTACACAAAGAAAGAAACAGTGCACATAATTAATTTCCAGTATAAAGATAAATTATACATTGAGAAAGTATTTCTTACAGTATGCGATGTTGCATGAAACATGGAAGAGTAAAGAGACTCACTGAGCTAAAGAAGCAACACGTAATGAAAGCATGGTGTAGCATTTCTTTCCCCAACAAAGATTTGGATTTAGTTAAAAATGAATAGCCTATTCCGTATTTCTGTAATGACAAACCATAATCAGTCAGAGTTGCTTTTATTCTGACTGAACACGATGATAGGCCTATATAGGTTTCTTTTAATCAGACAGACTATTTAAATGATATCTCATTACTTTTTTTTTAATTAATGCCAGAAATGCTAAGATCCCCAAAGTGTTTATGTTTTGATTAAAAGATAGTTAACATTAAACGTCAGCAAACCCTAAGAATTCAAAACATTTTTTTACAACAGTGCTCTCATTATAACGTTATTTATATGAGAGAAGTTATTAATGTTCCCTTTCAAGGGAACTTCGAACTGCGTCCTCTAGGGGTCGCTATGGGGGAACGCCTCGTCGTGACCCGTGTCTGAAGCATACATTGAAAAAACACCAACAACACGTTGGCCGGCGACAGCCCATGACATCACTACCAGTGCGACTATAGTATAAATAGGTGCCGGGAGAACATGTCATTCTCTTCTTCGTCTTCATTAACTGTTTTGTTTGAAGCGTGCATTTGAACGTGGTAAGAGCGATCTACTATCTATTATTATGGCGAGCACTAGCAGAGCGTTTAGAGGGTGTGTGCATCCGTGTCGTCGCTATTTGACACCTGATGACACACACGATCTCTGCGTTTTGTGTTTGGGCGAGGAGCACGCACGCGACGTCCTTGAGGGGGCGATTTGCGTGCATTGTGAGCGTTTTTCGATGAGAAAGCTCCGCTCTCGTTTTTCTCTTTTTTCGAGGAAAGAGGGGCAGCCATCTGCTCCCCACGGTTCAGGACCCGCCGCTGCTGAGGCACGGAGGAGAATGAGCTTATGGGGTTCGCAGGTGGACCTGGCTGATGAGTTTAAGAGAGAGAGAGCCGCAGGGTCGTCTCGATGAGCGTTATCTTTCTGACCATAACCGTCCAGCTCAGGTGAGCCTTCCATTCCTTCCTGATTTGCATACTGAAATCGAGAAGGAATGGAAGAGGCCGTTTCCTTCTCGCATCTATCGATTCCAGCATACGAGTTATGCCAACATCGAGGTGATGCGCGAAAACGGCTATGAGAGGATGCCCCCTGTAGAAGAGACGCTAGCTAGCTATCTCTCTTCGGGCGAGACATCCTCCCTTAATACTCCCTCCTTGCCATCTAAGCCCCTCCAGGATACATCGCGCTTAAATGGCAGGGCATACGCAGCAGCAGGTCAGGCTGTGGCTTCGTTGCACACTATGGCGGTGCTCCAGGCGTATCAGGCTGATCTGCTGAAAGACCTGGATAAAGGCGAGGGCCTTTCTCCTGATCAGGTAGCTGAGCTGCGCCGCACCACAGATCTTGCTCTCCATGCTACTAAACAGGCCGCCTCCGCCATGGGCAGGTCTATGGTGGCGATGGTGGTAATGGAGAGACATCTGTGGGTGAACCTGGCAGATATCGGGAAGAAAGAGAGGGGCTTTCTTCTCGATGCTCCGGTTTCGCCTTCTGAACTTTTTGGTACCTCCGTTGAGACGGTGGTCGAGAAGTTCAGGGAGGCGAAGGCGCGCTCAGCAGCCTTTAAATCCTTCATTCCACGAAGGTCCAGGTCTGAGCCCGAACAACATAGGGGTCCTGGTCCGTCTCGGTCTGAGGATCAGAGACGGGCACAGAAGGCTAGTGTCACGACTCGTGCTCCTCCTCCGCCCACGGGTAGGGGAAGGAGGAATCGCGGGTCAAAGGGAAGTAGTCAAGACCTAAGGGATGTGATCCAGACAAGGCGTCAGCGCTTCCATCCAGATCAGAGTGATACGTGAGTATCTACTCATTTCCTTCAGGGGCTGTCACATCTGCCCTTTTTCTTCCCCTTCCTAATTCCCCCATGACCACCAGCACTCCACCTGACCAAGGTTAGGCGGGACATTTCCTGCATTACAGTCTCCTATGCTGGACCTACGATGTTTTGGTTGGTTCTATGACTTCATAGCAACCACCTTACTGATGGTCCGGACTAGAGGCTTCTCTGGAATCGCCTTTTGAGTGGGGTTCCGGCGCGGGAACCATGGTGGGTGAGTATGATCCATTTTATATATATATATTTCATGTGCTGGTGGTTATGTGTGTATAATACTTCTGTGAGATTTCTTGGCAGCGTCTTCCGGGACCAGTGTGTTTCTGTCCTTTCTGAGGTAGGTCCTCTGCGAGCACCCCTTTGCTGGATTCAGAAACCAGGTGCTCGACTTGCAGTGTTACCTCACTCGTCGATATTGTGTACAGCCGGTATGATAGCCCTGGTACCGGCTTCATACTGGACCATGCGGCCAGGTCGGAGGCTTCTGCTGGAGCCTTCTTGATCATCAGGCCCCCGGTACGACACTGCAAAAAGATTCCTTGATGTCCGGGCTCCAGAATATCCCCTCTTGCTGAGGCATCGAGCGGGAAGAGTAGGTGGCATTTGCGAGAACCTTCTTGTGTGATGCTGTCTCAGGCAGTGCTCCCCTCGCCTTAGAGGGTCGTATTTAAGCTTGCCTCTCCCGTTTGGCCCAGTACCTACCATAGCATGGAAATTTAAATCCATGCTATGGTAAGTGCACACGCTAAGGTGTTGTTGGTGTTTTTTCAATGTATGCTTCAGACACGGGTCACGACGAGGCGTTCCCCCATAGCGACCCCTAGAGGACGCAGTTCGAAGTTCCCTACTCAGGGAACCATGGTTACATAAGTAACCTGAGACGTTCTCCATTTCTGTTTTGAGCTGCGTGCGCTGTAGTTGACCAGTTTAATGAAATATCTGATAGCAGGTTTTTACTCATCATTTATCTCATATGTAATAGCCTACGCTTCGTTATTTATGCAATATAACGTTAATATTATGACTTCTTATAGGCTATCTGCACAAAATGCCCCGAATGCAAAAGTGAACATGTCTGCGCGGCTCTGAATTAACTTTTGTGGATGCGTTCTTCACGCAACAACGTGCAGAAACACGGCAACTAAACTCTAAAAATTCACAGCATTTTATTATAATAGTGTTCTCATTATAACGTTATGTATATGACAGTCCTAGTCATAGTTATTAATATTCTGCATTGTTGTTTGTCCTGCTAGCGCTGCACGCTGAAGAGATAATCACCGTAGTACTACCATGAAGTGCTTTACTGCTGCGCAACTCAAACAAATGCATCTTATACGAGATAAATAATATATACACAATATATATAAACCAGCTGAAATGTTTGAAATCACTTGTACCCTATCTGATCGAAAAAATCCAGTCTTTCATTCTGCCTGTGTCAGTTTGAGTCTTGTTAAAGATCCTCTGTCAGTCACAGATTATGGAAAGTGAAACTTAAATCTATAGGGGTGGTTGGATTTATTCACGCATGCTAAAATATTTATTTAAAGCGTCTTTCTTTTCAGATTCTTATTTACAGCATTATCTTAATAGGCTGTATATTATAGGGAGAAAACTGGCAGTTCTATGTGAAATCAGACATTTGGGCACCCCCATATAGCCAAAATAGCATGATCATAACACCCCGTGAATATTCGACTGTGAGACTGGTAGTCGAATCAGGCTCCTCCTATCGAAGCATCAAATCTTCGACTGTTCGGGGTCACCCCTAATGTACATGTTGGTGTTTTTGAGAAAACAACCTTTATGCGTGGTTACTGAAAAAGTAAAATTTTTAAGTCACTGAAATAAGGCCATTAAACACATACAGAACATTTGTCGACAAGACTTTTGAGAACTGGAAGTGGTAGACTAGAGTTTTTGCTATAAAATTATGTGAAAATCATCCTGCCCTCTCATTCACAGAAAACAATATATTGATCTAACTTTTGTAAGACATGTTTTGTGTTAGAAAGGCCGTATGCAAGGGAGAGACAATGGCCATGAATATTTAGTGATTCACACCTGAGAGACAAAGGGCCCTCCCCTAATGGCCCAATAAGTGACTGTGACTGTGAGGCAGGTAAGAAAGAATGTGAGAAGAGTAAAATAATGGGGGTTTTGATTATTTGTATTTTATTTACAACACAGTATAATCAAAATATAAATAGTGAAGGTCAAAGACACATTATTGAGCACACTGATCTAAACACAGAGACTTGAACAGTCACACACCTTTGTGCCATTCCTGGAAACAGATCCTGTTCAACTGTTGAAACAAGTAAATCATACCTGATATTTCCAAACTGTTTGCTGCTTCTTTCCATGGATTTAAGAAAAAAAAAAACAGCCCCATCATCAGTAGTCATGGAGCTTATTTTGCCATGTTCATGTAGAATATCAGCCCAATGTAGTTGAACATCCTCTGATGTTGGTACAGCACTCTCAGAGAAAAACAGTTTTAAGTGAAGTCTTCAAGGTATCTGGTCACCAAAAAAAACAAAAAAACACATCTGTTAGCATGTTGATATCAGGAGCAACTATATTATTACATTAGCAATCACTAATATTGCCCACTCATAACTCCTATAATAATAAAAATAATAATAATAAAACATGATTTTGTAGGCATAAACTCAAGCATTTTTTGTATGAATTATACAATACAAAAACTATTTATATCTAAGAAACTAAAATATTAATAAGCATGTTATAAACATCTATATATACGTGAACAGAGTATTTCACCGTAAAGATTGGTCTAAGCATTCTAAGACTAACATTCACAGTGTTACAGTGTAAATACTCGTATTACTTTTATATTGTATTGTTTTATATTTTATAGAACATTAAAAAAAACATCCTGGCATTGTGAGACATTTAGATGCAATGAAATGAAACACATTTCAAAAGGTTTCACTTGATTTCATACATGTAGTCAGGAATTATAGTTTGGGAAAAGTCTAAATAGTAAAATGTGTACAAGTTACATCAAAATAACACAATAACAACTAATACAAGTAATAAAACATGACTTACTCTCAGAAATGATCTCCTCCACTGCTCAAGCTACGCGTCGCATCTCGTTCTTCTTCTGAGGTGAATTCAGGCTTATTCCCTCACAGCGCATCTTCTTCCAGAAACGAAAAGTATCCCAGATGAACTTGATGAATCTTCAGGCTTTGTTTACGGAGGTGATGTGGGCGTTTACAGGCTCACACGTCTCACGTGAATGATTACCGTATGAATAGCGCGCGATGCGTGGGGGTGTGATCACATTACAGATAATGAGTTCAGACGGGAAAAATGTAAGTTATGTCCATAACTTTGGATCTATGAGATTGAGCGATGACCATCACCATGGTGTTATCCTGAATGACGCCATTCCTCCACCTATCCTCGGGACCTAATAACAACAATGTCAGGTAACTGACCTTAGGGGTTGGCTGTTATATAACATCCGGATGGACCAACCACTTCCTCCTGCCTGGAACGGCTCAGCTCGTCTCGAGTGACAAGAGATGGTGACGGTCATCGTTTGGTCTCATAGATCCATAGTTATGGATATAACTTAAGATCTATTTCGACCTCACTCAAGACTGTCACCACGGCCTTATCCTGGATTACTAATACCAACAGAATCACGAGGGACCAGTATCATTTCCCTTCTCTGGTAAATTCACAGCAGATAAAACAGCAGACCCCAAAGAATTTGAATTTGTAACATTAATCCTATAAAACCTTGTGAACGTGCACGGGGTGCTCCAAGAGGCCACGGCACATATGTCTGAAAGTGCTACCCCCTTAAGTGCCACCCAAGAAGTGGCCACACTCCTGGTTGAGTGGGCAACTAGATCACCAGGAACAGGTAGATTTTGACTGGATTATGCTTGTGAAATTGTATCCTCTATCCAGTGAGACAAACGTTGCTTAGACACAGGCTTGCCTGCACACTTCTTGTCAAAACATACAAATAGTTGTGTATGTGACTGTCGCAATGGACGAGTACGCTCAATGTATGAATGCAGTGCTCTGACAGGACATAAAGAAGAGCTATCCAACCCAGTACCTGAACAAGGGGGGTCTGGGAGAAAAGCATCAAGCTCAGTGACCTGATTTATCGTACCAGGCCTAAGGACCTTGGGTAGGAATGACTGATTTGGCCAAAGATAAAGCCCTGCATTTTCCGCCTTCCATCATGTCCATAACAAACTAAACTTACTTACTAAAAACTGAAACTTAACCACATAAAGGGCTCGCAAACCTCTCATTCCACTGGTTACTAACGGCGCCGATTTATGTTTCTGCCGGTGGGTGCAAAAACTAGCATTTTATTTCATTAAAAAAAAACACATTTTCACCGCTGTTTAAACCAGTAAATGATAACCGGGCTAAGTTATAATACACATACGCAACAAATGCTTAGCATATTTAAACATTCTCATTACTCAGTAATTCATTATAGGCTACTGGGTGTTAGTTTTTTCTAGAGTAGGTTATACTCCGTTCAATGGTGCGTTTGATGAATTCACTACGCAAAATTTATCTTGCAAAGTGAAATGCATGCACTTACCAACCAAATAATACACACATTCTTTTTATGAGGGTTGCGCTTCACTAAATAAAATTATTTAATAAATACCTGTTTACAAAAAGCACTTCGCGCGTACACAGGACAAAGTTTGAGTTACATGTAATATCTGAGGGAGCGCAAAGCCATGATCACTATATCTATAATGGAGAGCAAGTCCGTTGTAAGCCAAGAGATTCGTGCTGGCGCCCTCTCGTATTACTGTAACACCACACCAGCAGAGGGAGCCCTCGCCTGAGTACTGACTGTGTACCGCTCCCTCTGCTTCTACGTTCATTTCCTGTTTGAGACGGTGGTGGTTGGATGCTCAGTAAGTGCGGGATTTTCAAACAGCGTTGTTGACATCGGAAGACTGTATAGGACTCTTTGATCTGGCGATTTGAATAGAAAGTCCTGTGGACATAAGACTGACTGGAATACGAAGTGAGAGTTGGTGGTGAGTTGATTGGGGAGTGGTGTGGGGGGCATCGGCCGACGGCCTGTATAGGTCCGGTAGCGGTGTTACCCCATAGCTTCTTTGTTGGCCTCATCCTATCAACGTTAACAAATGGCGGGGAGGAGTGTGGATGGTATGGAATATAGTGAGCAAGAGGGGAATGGCAGTGATGAGAGGAGAGAAAGTGATTGGGAAGAAGTAGGAAGGGAGAATCGAGGTAAGAAAGGGACATGTCGTAAGAGAAAGAAAAAAAATGGGGCTAGTTCAACTGGAACGGAAAGTGAAGGAAGAGATCATGAGGGAGAAGGTCTTAAAGCAGGACTGTTTAATGTAGTGGTTCGATTTGAAGGAGAGGGGGGAATTAAGAGAATGGATCCTCTTAAGTTAACCAAAATAATAAGAGGGCAAGTAGGAGAAGTGAAATATGCAAGAATATTGGGAGATGGAAATCTACTTATAGGATGTAAAAATGAGGGGCAGATGGAAAAGGCAAAGAAGATGAACTGCAGTGGAAAAATGAAAGTTGGCAAAGTAATAAGAGTGGGAGAGAGAAGAACAGGTGGTAGTAAGGGAGTGATATATGGAATTCTGCTTACTGTAAGAATTAGGGATGCACCGATACCGGTCTCCTGTACTCGTACTTGTACTCGTTAAAATGCCCCGATACCAAACGCCGATACCACACAGCATGTGATAAGCGCCATATTCAAACAAAGAAACACCGACAACAGAACAACAGACAGCAGAAAGGAGTTAAGGATGTCTATTTTATTACCATTTTCTAAACTATAGTGAATAAACTGTGATAATGTGAGAAATGTTGAAGGTGTCTGAATAAATTTTGGTTTGACTGTATCTATTTGATAAATGAAGTTAACCAACTAACAATATACATACCCTTTTGGTTTCTGTACCCAATATTTAAAAAATGTACAAATGCAATAAAAAATATCGGTATCGGTACTCGGTATCGGCAAGTACCAAAAATAAAAGTATCAGTATCGGGCGAGTACTGGAAAAAGTGTTATCAGTGCATCCCTAGTAAAAATGAAAGAACTAGTGGAGAACATGAGGGTACGAAACAGCTCAGTTAAAAGTGCCATAAGAATGACAAGGGGAATTGAAAAAATAGAAACATAATCTGTTTTGGTTGAGTTTGAATCAAAGGATATGCCAAAAGAGGTATATTATGGATTCATGAGATATAGCATAAGAGAATACATTCCTAAGCCAATGAGATGCTATAAATGCCAAGAATTTGGACATGTGGCTAAGGTGTGCAAAGGAAAAATGAAGGTGTGCCAGGTGCAGTGGGGATCATGATTATGGAAAGTGTGGGGAAGAAGTGAGGCCAAAGTGTTGCAGTTGTGGAGGGAATCACAGTGTCGCATTTTGGGGGTGTGAAGTGATGAAAAAAGAAGTGAAAGTGCAACAGGGTAAGAGTGAAGGAAAACATGTCTTATTCTGGGGCTGTTAAAAGATCTGAAAGAGAAAAGGAGAGTCAGAAGACGGAATATATGAATAGGGGGACAAGAGAAGTCCAACAAGAGCAGAAGGAACAGTGGGAGGAGAAGAAGAAAATGGTGACATTTATAGCAGGAGTGATAAATGCTACAGCTGAAATCAGATCTAAAACGGAAAGAATTCAGATTATTGTAAAAGCTGCAATACATCATCTAGATATGGCAGGTTTGAAATGGGAAGAGCTGAGGGATGAGCTAAGTGTACAGTCGAGTCAAGAGACAGCATGGGTTAATAATTTTAGTAATGTTACTCCTTCAATGGAATGCAAGGAGCCTGATTACAAATGGACAAGATTTTAAACAGTTTATTGCGAGTAGGAGAGAAAAAACAGACATAATATGTGTTCAGGAATCCTGGCTAAAGCCTAATCTGGATTTTGTTATATATGGGTATGTAGCAATTAGACAAGATAGGGTAAATGGTGGTGGAGGGGATTGTGTTACATTTGTTACATGTGGGATTCCACATAGGGTGTTAGGCATAGGGAATGAACATGAATATGTAGTAGTGGAGGTATGGGGTGTGGGGAAGAAATTTGTAGTCATAAATTATTATAATCTATGTAAAAGACTGCAATTAAACCAGCTTGAGGAAATAGAGGGACAAGATAGCAGTAATATTGTATGGTGTGGGGACTTCAGTGTGCATAATACATTGTGGGGAGGTGAAAAAGTGGATATTAATGGGCAAGTGATAGAAGAGCTATTAGAGGAGAAAAACTTGGTGTTTAAATGATGGGACTAAAACAAGGATAGAGGTTAATAATGGAAGTGAGTCTGTACTTGATCTTACACTGGTGTCCAATAGTATGGCAGCAATATGTAGTTGGAATGTGTATAAAGAAGGAACGGTAGGAAGTGATCACTATCCAGTATTGTGTAAAATCAACATAAATGTATCTGAAATTACTGAAGGAAGAGGGGGAAGATGGGTATTTGAGAAGGCTGATTGGGGGAAATTCCAGAGGGAAAGTGACAAATATCTGAATCAGACTGAATATAATTGTGATATAGAAATTCTGGAAAATAAAGTAAGACAGGGTATAATAACAGCAGCATTAGAGTCTATTCCAAAAAGCCAAGGTAATATAAAGAGAAAAGAAGTCCCATGGTGCGATGATGAATGTAAAAAAGCAGTCAGAAGCCGAAATAAAGCATATAAAGGAATGAAAAGAACGCATAATTTCATGCATATGATTCAGTATAAGTATGCGCAAGCAGTAGTAAGGAAAACAGTAAGACAAGCAAAAAGAATGTATTGGAGGAACTACTGCAGCTCAATTGGGAACACAACTCAGATAGGAGAAGTGTGGACAATGATTAAAAAGATGGGTGGGGAGAGGAGAGATTGGAATTACCCGGTATTGTGTAATGGAAACGAGATCGCAGTGACAAATAAGGAAAAGGCTGAAATGTTAGTAAATACATTTGTTAATGTGCACAGTTCAAATAATTTATCTGAAGAAGGGAGGAGAGGCAGAGAGGAAACTAGATCTGAAAATTTGGAGGCACTGAGGGTGATGGGAAGTGTACCATTTAATATGGGAGAATTAAATAGAGCATTGGCAAAAACTGGGAAGACTGCACCAGGGAAAGATGAAGTATGTTATAGCATGTTGAAGAAGTTAAGTGAGGAAGGGAAGAATAAGTTATTGATGCTATACAATAAAGTGTGGGAAGAAGGAAGAGTGCCAAAGAGCTGGAAGGAAGCAGTTATTGTTCCAATAAGAAAACCGGGGAAAGATTCTAGTAAGCCAACGAATTATAGACACATTGCCCTGACTTCTCATATCTGTAAGCTAATGGAAAGAATGGTAAATGGGAGATTAATATATATTATGGAAAAACAAGGTATGGTGAATGAATGCCAAAGTGGATTTAGGAGAGGAAGGGGTACTATGGATGCAGTGTTATGTTTGGAAGATGAAATAAGAAAAGCTCAAATAAGCAAAGAGACGGTAGTAGCAGTATTTTTTGATGTTGAAAAAGCATATGACATGCTATGGGGAGAGGGGGTGATGATTAAGTTGCATAGAATGGGATTTCTTGAAAGGTAGAACAATTCAGGTTAAAATAGGAGCAGACTTGTCAAGCAAGCATGTAGCCGAGAATGGAACGCCCCAGGGGAGTGTAATAAGTCCCACATTATTCTCAGTAATGATAAATGACATATATGTAAATGTACCAGCAGGCATGGGAAGATCATTATTTGCGGATGATGGAGCAATATGGAAAAGAGGAAGACATGTAGAACATATAGTTAAGAAAGTGCAAGATGGTATTCAGCAGGTTGAGAAGTGGGGAATAAAATGGGGTTTTAAATTTTCTGTTGAAAACACTAAAGTAATGTTTTTTACAAGGAGGAAAATCAATTAAGGCTTTAATTTAAAACTATACTTGAGTGATGAGTGAACTTCACAAGGAATGGACTGAGGCTGGGGTCAAGGCATCAAGAGCCACCACACTGTCAAGGAAGAGGAGAAGCTCATAGCCCAAGTTGCTTGAAGTCCAGTGTTAAGTTTCCACAGTCTGTGATGATTTGGGGTGCAATGTCA